TTACCAATTATCCATGTTCTAGAGGATGACTGTTCCATCCATCCAGGTCTTTTGTGACTGTGATGAAGAGCATCTCTTTTTCAACTGGCAGAGAGCATATAGCATAAGCAAAAGATAAGATTTGATTGTTTTAAGCTACTGTGGTTTGGAGGTTGATGTTGGTTACCCCACTGTAACCAAAATTTTCCTAACTGAGTTCTTTCCTGAGCAAATGTTTATTTCTCCTGGAAATAGCAATGCGTCATTTAAAAAGATTTGCTTAATTTTCTCTGTACCAATCAGAAATACAACTCAAAGTCTACACGAAGGGTCTGAATCTCTTCTCAGAATTCTTTACCAGAGACTCTATTAATATTATCCTTTCTCTATTCAAGGGTGACCCTCTAGCCTCCTGCACAATTGTCTTCCTGGGGGTTCTCATCACCTCTCTGCTGTGGAGCGTAAATCCCTGGTGACTTGTGTTTGGTCAATGAGATGTAAGCAGCAATGTTGTGTGTGACCTTTGGAAAGTGTGTTAAGAAGAGGCTCATCTTTCTCTTTCCTGCTTCAAGCTGCATGGAATAGAATGTGATGGCTGGAGCTCTGGCCGCCATTTTGGACCATAATGATAGGATATCCTGAAGGAGTCCAGATCCCTAATAATTGTGGAACCTCCAGACAAGCACTGGGCTGCCTATCATCACACTTAATTTTTTTAATGTGAAAAATAAACTTAAATATCATTTAATCTGGGGTTGAATTTCTGGTTACATGAGGTTGAAGCTGATTCCTTGTACTTAGCTAATTCCTTTGTTTTGGTGAAGCAGATCCTCTTATCCGTTATGGTTTGGTTAAGAAATAGAAGTGACTGTACACCCTAAATATGAGGGGTTTTATACAAAAAAAGAAACTGCTAAATCATTCCTTCACAGCTTTTATCAAAATTAATTCCAAATGGATTAAATAATTAAAATGTAAAATGGGAAATTATAATATATAGGTAAATAATTATGACTTTAACCTGAAGTCTTTCTAAAGATGATGCTAGTAAAAACCAAAAGCAAGTTGAGTGAGGTTTAAAAGAAAAATAAAGTCTCTCATAGGATATATCATACCAAAACTAAAATACATGAAAATTTTATAGGAAACCATAATTAAAACACAGGGCTGCTGATCAAAGTTTCTTTCCTTTCATCAGGGTTTCTCAATGTTGGCATGACTGACGTTTTGGACTGGATAACTCTTTGTTATTGCGGGGGGGGGGGTCTGTCCTGTTCATCTCAGCAGCATCTCTGGCTACTAGATGCCCAGTAGAGTCCTCTGCCCTAGTTATTGACGACCAAAAGTGTCTCCACACATTGCCACATGCCCTTGAGGAGCAAACTCAGCCCCAGCTGAGACCTGTAGCTCTACATGGTAGTTCTCACATTTGAGCATGTGTCCATACCACATAGAGCATGTGTAAAACACAGACAGCTGAGTCTTCTCCCTAGAATTTCTGATGTAATAGGTCTGGGGTGGGGAGCTTGAGAATTTCCTTTTTTAGGAAGTTCCCTGGTGGTGCTGAAGAAGTTGACCTGGGGAACAGACTTTGAGAATTACTTGCAAGTAATCACATCATCCCCTAAAATATGAAAGCAACAATAATATTGACATTTCCAGGACACAGAAATATTACGGTCATAGGTAATCAAGGTCTTGACAGTGGAGCTCAGGAGTTGAGAAACTATGTTCTTACATGAGATTGCAAGACAGAGGCAAAATTTATGATTTATGGATCAGATGAAGATTTGGTTTACATTTGCTCTAAACTTAGTGATTTTTCTTAAGTTTAATATTACTAGAGAGATGACCAAAATGAAATAAACAATGATAAAGATAATATCAATGGATCTTATTAGTCTGTGATGTAGATGTCCATCCATCTTTACTAAAACTTTTCCCAATTGCTTGTTAAGCTTCCCGTGATAAATTTTTTACAAATGTCCAGGGGCTGTGTAAAACAAATAAACAAACAAACAAAAAACTTTGCAACCTTTTTCACTTACAGCTACATCACATTTAATAGTTCACCTAAATAATTTTTGTTGGAATAGCAGAAAACTGCTGGAATTTATGCTGTACACCTTTCAGCAGACAGGCAAAAAAACCCCCAAAAAACAAAAAACAAAAAACAAAAAAAATCATTATGGTCTGAATTTCAACAGATGGCTTATATATATTCCAGGTTTACCAGACATGACGCAGTTTTAGATCATTGCTTTTGAGCACCAACTGCATGCCCTGTGCCTTGTTTATTACAGCCATGTGAACCCACACCCGCAATGATCTATCTCGCGCCAGCAAGCTACAGACAAAACCAATAGCCCTGTGCTGGCAACATTATTTTATTGTTGTCTCCTTAATCTCCTCTATTCTTTTGCAATTACTTTTATTAGTATTGCTCATTTAATGAGACCTTGGAGTTTGGAGCCAGATGGTGCCGTTAGTTAAATCTGGAAGACTCTAATGGAATTGAGTTCAAACCAGGTTAAGAGTAAGAGAATTACAAATCTCTTAGCATACTGCTTTGTGAACCTTTGGCACCCCAGAAATTAGTGTAGGCTCCAAACGGGAAGACACGGATTAAGGTTCAGAGAGACCACGTGGGCTCCTAGCTGACATGTGGTGTGGAACAAACAAGACAGGGCATGCTCCCTGTCTCACGGAGACTGTAGTCTCCTGGAGGTGAAGGACAGTAAGAAGCAAGCAAGCAAGACCACCAGGCACCGTGGTACCTGGTGGGAAGAGGGGAAGCAGAGATGACGTGGAGGGGTGCTCAAGAAAGCTCTCTGAGGAAGTGATAGTTAAGCTGGTGCCCGGATGATGGGAAGGAGCTGACTCAGGGAAAGCAAGAGGAATGTCATCACTGTTTGTTAGGAGGAATAGGGTATTCAAGTTGTGGGATGCAAGTTGTTTTGTGTCCCCAAGGAACTGCGGGGGCACCTGTATGACCAGAGTCTATAGGGGCAAGTCGGGTGGTCCCACACGAGGCCAGAAGCTACTGGACCCAGAGATGTTGCATGGGGCAAATGGAATTTGGACCCTGAGAATATCTAGGTTTTTTTTTTTTTTTTTTTTTTTAAATAACCTCTGTGGCAACGTGCTGATGAATAAGTCCTGTAGAAAAAGTGAAAAAGTGTCTTTGGGATCAGAGCTGTAAATCTTCATGATCCCGCCAGTCTGTGATGTCATCAGAGGCATGATTTTGACCCTTTGTACAAAGGGCAGGCAAGACAGAGGCAATATTTTGATTAATCGAATTGCCTCACGTGGAAATATTAATTTCATACTTGATACCACACTTCCAGTAGGGCACAGTGGTGGCGGTAAATCTACCGGGTGTCACCTCTTCATCCTTCCTGTTGGTAACAATGGCTTGCCTGCCTCTGACCAATATCTTGTTCCACACTGTGTCCCTGATCAATGGCTACAGTTCTCTTCCCAGAGGTCTCCTCTCTGCTCTGTCTTCCTGGCCTAGGTCCCCTCCTCCCCTGTGGGTGCTTCTGCTTCTGTCAAGGTCAAGTTCAGACATACACCCACCTGGGAGTGAGGTCAGGAGGAGTGAGTGAACTGCCAAGAACTCTTACAGCAATGGATGCTTCTCTTGCTGGCACTCATATTTGCCTTGTGTAAGCAGGAGCTAGATCATTCGTTCACTTAAGCTATTCTCTGGACCTGTTGCCTTATACATAACAGATACGAGAAAGTATGTATTGAATTCCATTCTTACTGGCAGTTACCATTTGTTGAGCGATTAATTGGTCAAGGGCTCTTCCAAGTGTTAGTGATTTAATCCTTATGTGATGGTCAATTTTATGAGGCAGCTTGACCGTGGTGCCCAGATACTAGGTCAAACACTTTTCTGGATGCTTCTCCAAATATATTTTCAAATGAGATTAACATTTTAATCAACAGACTTTGAGTAAAGCAATAGTCTCTATAATGGGAGTGGGCCTTGTCCAATCAGGTGAAGGCATCAATATACAGATACTGACCTCCCCTGAACAAGAAGGAATTGTGCCACCAGATTGCCTTTGCATTGCACTGAACTCTCCTTGGGTCTTCCGCCTGCTGGCCCATCTTGCAGATTCTAGACTTGCCATTCTCCACCACTGTGTGAGCCAATTCCTTAACACATCTCTCTCTTTCTCTCTCTGTCTCCCTCTGTGGTCTGTTTGTCTCTCTAAACGCCCTGTTGGTTATGTTTCTCTGGTGAACCCCGATTAATAACACACTTTATATTTTACTATTTATGCCCATTTTAGAGATGAGGAAGTTGAGGCAATAAGCAGAGTGCCTGAGGGCAGACACTTGATGAGTGTGAAGCCAAGATTCCAGGCTAGGTCTTTCTGAGCCACAGCACAATACAGCTTCTCCTGCAGAACTTGAAGGAAGAGAACACAGGGACCTGCTGATAACACACACTATTTACTATAAATCCTCTCTCCTTTTTAGTATTCTCCAGGTACAGTGGGATCTTATAGCATGTGAGAATTGTGCAAATTTTCCTTTAGCAGAGAAGGCTGGTCAATAGCTACGTACACGGTACATGCATTTGACCTATTTAGGTCCTATATATGCAATCCTCTCCTTTACAGTCATAATTTCCAAAAACATCTTGAAATAACACACAATTTCCACACACAGTCAACTACAAGATCTTCAGGAACACAAGAGAGAACTAAACTGACATCAGTTTAAAGTTCACGGTTTTGCTGAAAATAAGATGACATCTCCCCTCCCTTACAAAAAAGCAATTACAATAAAGAGAAATAAGCAGTACATGTGGATGAAATTAAAATAGAGAAAAACAAACAGCGCACACAGAGTCCCAAGCCTCTTGATGTCTCTCGCCGTGGGCTAAAGTCCCATCTTGAGGTCAAAACTTCAAAAGTAGCCTCAAACTGGAACCTTTCCATAGGAAGAGCCAGTAGTGAATATTGACCCCAGGATCAATTGTTTCTGTTTAAGCTGCAGACTGCTCCAGTCAGAGACAGCAAGCCAGGCCCCAGCTGAAAAAGAGCTGTTTGTCACCCCCAAACGCGTAAGAACGATCTCGCTGCTTCTGAATTAAAATGATTCTTCCCGGAACGGAGAAGATGGTGATGAAGATACTGATCTTGTTTGTGCTTGGGATGAACTACCCGTCTTGTGCAGGTAAGGAACTAGAAGACACAGGTCCCCTTCCCCAAACGCTGTGGCCCTCGTGCCTCGTCTCACTATGTCCCTGTGTGCTTGTGGGTCCAGGTTTCCCGGTGTACGACTATGACTCGTCCTCCTTGAGGGAAGCCCTCCGTGCGTCTGTGGCAAAAGTGAATTCCCAATCCCTGAGCCCGTATCTGTTTCGGGCATTCCGAAGCTCCGTAAAAAGAGTAAGTGTATTTACATCTTCTTGATTCCTTTTAATATGTGCTGCTTTCTACTATTTATTTATTTTTTGTCTGTTGGGTACACTTTAAACATTTTTCCAGGTTTAAAAGATAATAGCTAGTCCTCTCTTTCGTACTGTTTTTGGACAGAGAAAGAATTTAGTAACAGTTACTGTCCTAAGGCCCTCATAGCCCGTTTGGATGCAGGATTCTTCTGGGGTGTCTTCCCTCTGGCCTGGCTTCCCATTTCCAGATGTTGCCCTGCATGTGTCCTGCTTCTGTATCCACAGCCCCCATGGTTCCTCTTGAGATGTTTTAGTAAGAACTGCTCATTTATGAGAAATGAGACTTTCTCGATTTCAGCAGTCCTGCTCCTTGTACTTAGAGGCAATAAATTCTGGCTTTTAAGCCCAAGAAATCCCACCTTCCTTTGTCAATTTGGTGTTGGTTTGTTTCCTGTTAGCTTAGGGAAATGGGGAAATGTGAATTTTCTTGGCCTTCCAATGACTCGGTTTGTGATTGGCAAAGGAAGAAATGCAGAAATTCATTTCCAAGGAAATGAGGAGTCTGGACAGAGCGTTACCTTTCCCTCCTCCATCTGCAGGTGACTTCACGGCTTACTCACTGTCCAGGCATGGGAGGAAAAAAAATTCCCCCAGGCTAATGTGTGCTAAGATGGGAGCAGAACCAATAGAACGTGTGTGTGTGTGTGTGTGTGTGTGACACAGAGAGAGAGAGAGAGAGAGAGAGAGAGACAGATTTGGAGGGAGAGGGAGAAGGAGAATGAGTGAGTGAGAGAGATTTATCATAAAGAATTGGCTTATACTATATGGGGGTTTGGTAAATCCAAAATCTGTAGGGTGGGCTGATGGGCTGGAGACCCAGGAAAGAACTGACACTGCAGTTCATGTCTGAAGGCAGTCTGCTGGCAGAATCCCTTCTTGCTCAGGAAAAAGACTGTCTGTTCTATCCTGGCCTTCTACTGATTACATGAGGCCCACCCATATTAAGGAGGATGATCTGCTTTACTCAAACCCACCATATTACAATGTTAGTCCTGGGGTACCTGGGTGGCTCAGTGGTTAAGTGTCTGCCTTCAGCTCAGGTCATGATCCCAGGGTCTTGGGATCGAGTCCCACATTGGGCTCCTTGCTCAGTGGGGAGTGTCCTTCTCCCTCTGCCTCCCCCTTCCCAGTCTCTCAGGAATAAATAAATAAAATCTTTAAAAAAATAAAATGTTGGTCCCATCCAAAAAACACCTTTACAGAAATATCCAGAGTGTTTCACCAGATATCTCAGCATCATGGCCCAGTCAGGTGGACACATAAAATTAACCATTATAATCACCAAAAGGAATTGTTATTGGTTTTTTATTGCTCGGATATTTTTGTTTCTTTTTGGAATAAAAAGCCAAAATATGCTCAAAGTTCAGAAAATATAACAAGAAAGAAGAAACCAAAAGTACTATCTATTATCCTTTCCTCTAAGACACCCACTATGAACATGTGGGAGAAGACCTTTTTGGATCCTTTTCATATATTGGTATGAAACATATTTTTAAAAAGAAAAACAGGAGCATAGTGTAACATCAATTGTAAAATACCACGATTTACCTCAGCAAAGATGCTGGATTTGGATTTTCTCTAGTTGATTCTTTATTATCAAACACTGAGGTTGTCCCACCTTTTTCAAACAATACAAAGTAGAAATTAGTGGGTTGAAAGTGAGTTTGGATGAAAAAGCAAAACCATTAGGCTTTTCTCCTTATTCTGAAAAGAGCGGTTAAAGAGGCAAAGAAAGGCTGCAAATTTATCTCATAGTTCAATAAAATTATCTGTACTCAAAAAAAATCTCACATTTTCATCTTTTAAACTAAGCCTTTTTGTCGTCAGTTTGTTTTCATTGGATTGCTTTAAGGGAATTGCCGGAGCACAATCTGGGTGGAGAGACCCAACAATACACTCCAGCAGGAGAGAGCTTTATTTTTTTATGAGGTTCAGATTTAATATCTAATATTTTAAAATTATGAATAAATGCAGTAATAAATATCGTCGAAGCTGAATTTTTAGTCTCACTTGTTTTCAGAAAACTTTACTTCTATGAGCACTCTTTGTCCACTGTTAGATGGAGATGTGAAGGTCCCCCATCCCAGGCTTGGAGTTTGTTATTTATTTCCAAACATAGTGTTCTAGTTGTGCCCATCCTTCCCAGTGTGTGAGTGGTCTGTGCACTCACAGAGGGTTCTCCCTACCCTCCTCCCTGGGAAGTTGGTTGAATGGGTGCTGACTCAGTTTTGTCAAGGTGGGCTCAAGGACTGAAAAGGACTAGAGTTTTGGAGTCTGAGGGTATGGTTGGGTACTGGGCCATGGCAGCTCCCAACTGGCCTCCCTGCCACCATCTTGTCTCTGCCCCAGTGTGGTCTCTTTGCAGTAGCCATAGTGATTTACATCTTAGTTCTTAAATTCTTCTGAGAATGTCCCCATTGCAATGAGAATGAAATCTACACACCGTCCCATGGGTGACAAGATCATAAATTACATAACACATGTTGTCTCTCAAACATCATAGGGTGTGGTTCTCCTCTTGTTCTTTTTTCTCCAGCAACAACAGCTGGGCTTATTCTGCCCCAGGACATTGGCCTTGCTTTTTCCACACATGATAGGCTCTTTCCCATTCTATAAGCCTTGGAAGGATTTCTCTGGCACTTTCTCTACAGTAGCTACTTCCTCCTCCCTACCCCCATTACCATGCTGTTTGTTCCTTCATAACACCAAAACCTTCTAGAATGACCTTGCTAACTTCTTTTTAAGGTGTTAACTCTGTGGCTGTATGTAATCTAAGCTGGAATCTAAGCTGCGCGGGGTCTCCCCTACTTTGTCTTTGGGGCTAGACACATTGTGGGTGATCTTTAAGTCATGGGATTTCTGTGTCATCAGAGCATCACACATTTGTCACGATGTCTGGAAGTTTCCCCCCGTATCCCACCCTTGGTGGAAAGGAATAGACAATTGTGAGAACTCATTCATGGACCACAGCTGATCAAGCAAGAAGCAGGATGGGATAGTACTATAGGGCAGTAGAGCAGAGATGTACTTACAACGTCATTTCTTATTTCAGGGATTACTAAGAAATTATGGGTCATTCTTTTAGGAAAATGACCCTTAAAAATACAGTTGGTTTTCATTATTTGTCGCAGTTGTGTTCTATAAAGTCACCATGCACACTAAATTAGTACTTGCTGAACCACTGCTCCTGTTCTAATGCCTGTGTCCTCTCCATGTGGCACACCCAAACCTTCTGGTGCTTCGGAGCATGGACAGCACTCTGAGACTACATGTGGGGGCCATTTGAAACAGCAAAATCACCAAGAAAAAACCCCCACAAAAATGAGAAAAGCACACTCCAAAATAAACCATAAAAGTGACACTTGTCTACAGTATGACAGCTGAAGCTAGAAGGCAGAGCTCTGCCTTGTCTGGTCTCAGTAGGGAATGTGTGCATGGGGCAATTCAAGTTCTTTGGCACTCTGTGCCTGTCCATGGATGACTGCAAAGAGACCCTGAACATTGATTTTTGGGATTATGATATATTTTGGTGAGGAGGCACATTTGCAAAAATGGAACCTTGGAATCATGAGGATCAACTGTAAATTAAGTCATCAGAAGTAACATTGACCTTGCAGTTCAGACACCTAAGTTCTGGTTCCATTTTTTTAAAAGAAGTGTTATGTGCCTTTGGAAAAGCACTTCTGGTCCCAGACTGCGGGGGTGGAACTGGGGGATTGCTAAAACCACTTAACAGCTTTCCCAGGGAAGGAGTCTAACTTTTCCTCATTGTGCAGGAAGAAATATTTGTAGCATCGTAAACTTCAGAGGCTCACCAAGGCAAACTGATACTCTGTTTTTTTGTGAAGGTCAATGTTCTGGATGAGGACAGCTTGAACATGGACTTAGAGTTTGGCATTCGGGAGACAACATGCAGGAGAGATTCTGGAGAAGACCCTGCTACGTGTGACTTCCAAAGGGGCTACTATGCGGTAAGTTTGGCAGGAAACACCATATCCCAGAAATTAGCAGGACAAAGCACCTCGCTTCTTCTATGACTGGAGCTGTTCCAAGTCATAAGGAGAGCTTGGCCCCTGCCTGGCATCCAGCCCCACTGGGAGGCACCAACTGTGTCCATACTAAGTTCCCTGGGGAAGGGGTGGTGTGGCTTGGTGGTTGAGGACTTGGGCTCTGGAGTCCATGGTCTTGAGTGATCCTGGCAAATTATTCCCTGTTGCCTCAGTTTCCTGCCTCTTGAAATGGGTAGAATGATGGTTCCAGGCAAAGTGAATACAAAGAGGCCAACCCCAAAGGCAAATTCCAGAGATGTTTCAAATTCCATTTTAAATGAATCTAAAACACCCACTGTGTTCTTGGTGTGAGTTACATTATTTTGTAGTTGACTATTGTGTGATATCTGTCCTCCTCCTCCTCACTGGCATGGACTCCATGGGGTCAGGACCACAGTGTGTTCCATTTTGTATCCTCGGCAACCAGAGCATGACCCCACACTTGCTTTAACACCCATGGGCAAGGGTCTGGTGGATAAGATTAGCGCTAACACTTGCTCTCCTGGGTGTTGGTGTTCAGATGTATGAATTCTCTGGTTTTGTTA